GGGGCACCGGGCGAGGAGCTCTTCGAAAACTCGGGCTTGTTAGTTCGCCTGGCGGACACCGGCCGTGACGCGGACCGGCGGACTAAGCGTGTGTGACGGCGAGAAATTGTGAACCTCAATGGCTTTCAGTTGGTCGGCCGGTATGTCGGACGGGTCGGTACTCGCTCACTCGGTTGTGCGAAGGAAGGCAAGTTGTCGTGTGGGAGTGAGGTTGGTGGCCGGGCGGTGGCCCGTTGATGGTGGTGGTCGGTGGTGGTCTGGAGTGTGAAAAGTCTGCGGGTTTTCTGGTCGCTGGTGTGGCAGTCGACTTGTTGGTCATTTTCCGGTCGTTTCCGCTGGTCTGTAGTGATGTTGATGGATGTGGCTAGTGGCCGGTTGATATCTGCTAGACGGCGGCTACGTTCTTCGACGGCGAGCGTCGAGCGTCGAGCGCTGATTGTTGCTATTAATTGGACGCGGTTGCCACGGCGTAGGCAGAGCAGGCGCACCACCGCCAGTGGCCATGAAGCTCGAAGTCGACCGTCGTGATGCAGTGGGTATGCCGCTTGCAGTGGAGAAGTTAGTTGTTGTTTGCATCAGTATTGGGCTGCTGGTTCGTGACGGTAGTGGCCGCCATTGGCCGGTCAAAGTCGTAGTACTGTTATTGGATTGAATCGGCAGGAAAGATACAAGCTCGGACTTGCCGGCCAGCTTTGCAATCGAGCAAGACAAGGGACGAAAAGGCAAGAAAGAAGTCTGGATTCTCAATTATTTTGTATGGAGTGATTACTAGCAGCAGTAGCTGTATGAGACTGCTGTTGGCACTCGAGAGACAACCGCGGCATCGATTGCAAGCGCTTGCGGCTGCCGTCGACAGGCACAAGCAGTCGGCCGTTCGATCCTTTTGTGTGATAGGCGAGCGCGGTGGTGGTGACCTTCTATCTACCATCCCCAGCCGCCGAAGCCGCCGCCGCCGAAGTTACCCCAGCCACCCCATCCGCCGCAGCGACCCCATCCACCGCAGCCTCCCCAGCCTCCCCACGGGCCTCCCCACGGGACTCCCCATCCGAATCCGCCGCCGCCCCATTCCTTCTTCTTCTTCTCGTCGCCGTCTTTGTTGTCGGCATGCGTGGCTTTCTTGCCGGCAGCGTCGACGGAAGCAGTGGCCGCGGCGGGTTGCTGCACGTTGTGCTCCGCAGTGACAGGAGCGACAGGTTCGGGCACGGCGAGAGCTCTGAGAGCCGGCTGGTAGTCGTTGGCGGACGCGACGGACGCGACGGCGACTAGCGTGGTGACGGCGAGAGTGGTGAACTTCATGGCTTTCAGTTGGTCGGCCGGTATGTCGGACGGGTCGGTACTCGCTCACTCGGTTGTGTGAAGGAAGGCAAGTTGTCGTGTGGGAGTGAGGTTGGTGACCGGGCGGTGGCCCGTTGATGGTGGTGGTCGGTGGTGGTCTGGAGTGTGAAAAGTCTGCGGGTTTTCTGCTCGCTGGTGTGGCAGTCGACTTGTTGGTCATTTTCCGGTCGTTTCCGCTGGTCTGTAGTGATGTTGATGGATGTGGCTAGTGGCCGGTTGATATCTGCTAGACGGCGGCTACGTTCTTCGACGGCGAGCGTCGAGCGTCGAGCGCTGATTGTTGCTATTAATTGGACGCGGTTGCCACGGCGTAGGCAGAGCAGGCGCACCACCGCCAGTGGCCATGAAGTTCGAAGTCGACCGTCGTGATGCAGTGGGTATGCCGCTTGCAGTGGAGAAGTTAGTTGTTGTTTGCATCAGTATTGGGCTGCTGGTTCGTGACGGTAGTGGCCGCCATTGGCCGGTCAAAGTCGTAGTACTGTTATTGGATTGAATCGGCAGGAAAGATACAAGCTCGGACTTGCCGGCCAGCTTCCAGATAGAAGCTTGACCACGCCATTCTCAAAGCCAGGGAACTTGACGAGACTTGCCGTGGGGGACAACCATGCAGCCGTATCAGGGAAATGCTTAATCACATGATCAAACAGCAGTCGCACGTCGTGTAGCGACAATGACTCTGTCTGCAGCTTCTTGTTCACACTTTCCAGCTTTTTGAGATCCTCATGCAAGGCCTTCAACGTGACATTGTCACGCGCAGTGGGAATCACGTCTGCAAGCGTGTCATCGTCAACATGCTCTAGAACTCCGTTGATCTTGAAGTACCTTCAATCAATGAAAAGGTACTGCTCCATCGTGTTGTATTGCGGAAGACTGGCATCAGCACACCTAGCTCACGAAGCTGGTGTCGGTTCTTAATAGTGTTCAGCTTCGTCATCAGCAAGTGCAACTTATCCAAGACCTCCGAATGTTCCCGAAGGGCTGCTTGCATAGCCAGATTGAACCGGTGAGAGGCGCAGCCGATCATCGGGACTCGAGCCTTTCTCGCCACAGCTACATTGACCGACGCATGGTCGCAGACGAAGAAGCAGAGTTGAGACGCGTCGATAGCAGAAGTGTCCAGTACATCGTCGAGAAGATCAATGATCGAGTTTGAACTCATATCCGACGCATCCGCCAGCGTCGAGAAGCACAGCAGAAACTTGTCCTCGGGCGTCCAAGCGATGACAGCAATAAAATGCGTGCCGTCTACCGTCCATGCATCGATACCGAAGCCAATTTGCTTTCCGCACAGCTGCGACTTGATGCGGTCTTCCACAAGCTTTTCAACTCCGGCCATGTGTTTTTTCAGCGACTTCACGCTGACGAGCTTGAGGTTCGTGTACTTCCTGGTCTTGCCTTTCTCGCACATGCTCAGCTCCCTATTTTCCATGATGATCCAGTCCAGCCAATGGTACATCGTGAGGGAAAGTCGTCTGTCTTGACGAAGACGTCCAGGCTACCCTCTCGTCGCTGAACAGCGCGAAACTCGTCCTCGTACGTCCCTCCATGACGGCGGGGGGGGGGGGGACGTGTGCCTCTCGAATTCCCGCTATTAACTTCCAGAGGTTTCTGGAATCTAAGTCGTAAGTGTTACGACATTGTGAACAAATCATAATTCCAGAAAGCC